TGCCCCGGCAGAGCCCCCAGCTCCCAACAGCAGTGCGGAGGAGGACGGGATAAACCTGGAGGAAATCCGGGAATTCGCCAAAAACTTCAAGATCCGGCGTCTGTCCCTGGGGCTGACGCAGACGCAGGTGGGACAGGCCCTGACGGCCACCGAGGGACCTGCCTACAGCCAGTCGGCCATCTGCAGGTACCGGGGGCCACCAACCCCCCCCGGGGGCAACCGGGAAAGAGAGGGAAATCGGGGAATGGGAGGGAAAACAGAGGGGGGGGTATTGGGGAAAGGAGGGGAGTTGGAGGAGAGGAAGGAAATGGGAGGGAAATTGGAGAAAGAGGGGGAGGTTGGGGAGAGGGAGGAAAAGTAGAGAAAGGGGGGAAATTGGAGAAAAATAGGAAACTTGGAGAAAGAGGGGAAAGTTGGAAAAAAGGAGGAAGAGTAGAAAAAGGGGGGAAATTGGAGAAAGGGGGCAAATTGGAGAAAAATAGGAAAATTGGAGAAAGAGGGGGAAGTTGGAACAAAGGAAGAAAAGTAGAGAAAGGGGGGGAATTGGAGAAAAATAGGAAAATTGGAGAAAGAGGAAAGTTGGAAAAAAGGAGGAAAAGTAGAGAAAGGGGGGAAACTGGAGAAAGGGAGGAAAACTGGAATGAAGGAGGAAAATAGAGTAAAGGAGGAAAATAGGTGGGAAGGAGGAAAATTAGAGACAAGGGAGATTAGGAAGAGGAAGGAAAATTAGGGAAAAGGAGGAAAATTAGAGAGAAGGCGGAAAATTGGAAAAAAGGAGGAAAATTGGAGGAAAGGGAAATTAGGGAGAGGAAGGAAAAATGGAGAAAAGGGGAATATTGGAGAGAAGGAGGAAAATAGAGAAATGGAGGAAAATTGGAGAAAAGGGAAATTAGGGAGAAGGAGGCAAATGGGGGAGAAGGAGGAAAAAGGGGAAAAAAGGAAAGTTGGATGAAGGGGAAATTAGGGAGAGGGAGAAAAATTGAGAGAAGGAGGAAAATTGGAGAAAAGGATAATTAGGCAAAAGGAGGAAAATGAGAGGAAAATTGGAGAAAAGGAAGAAAATGGAGAAAAAGAGGAAAATTGGAGAAAAGGAGGAAAATGGAGAAAAGGAGGAAAATTGGAGAAAAAGAAAATTAGGGAGAGGGAGGAAGAATGGAGAAAAGGAGGAAGAATGGAGAAAAGGAGGAAAAATGGAGAAAAGGAGGAAAACTGGAGAAAAGGAGGAAAAATGGAGAAAGGGAGGGAAATTGGAGAAGAGGAAAAATGGAGAAAAGGAGGAAAATGGAAGAAAAGGATGGAAATTGGAGAAAAGAAAAATTAGGGAAAAGGAGGAAAATGGGTAAAAAGGAAGAAAATGAGCAAAAAGGAGGAAAATGTGTAAAAGGGAGGTGTGAGAGTGGGGTCTCTCCCCGTGAAGCCCCTCACCGTGGTGTCGCTCCTCGATGTGGTCTCTCCGGGTGCCCCCGACCCCGTGGCAGTGGGTGTCCCCAGGTGTCCCCCGCCCCAGCACTGTGTGTCCCCCCCATTCCCCGATTTATTATTTTTTTCCCTCCCCGGGGGGCAGGTTCGAGAAGTTGGACATCACTCCCAAAAGCGCCCAGAAGCTGAAACCAGTGCTGGAGAAATGGTTGAGCGAAGCGGAGCTGAGGAACCGGGAAGGGCAACAAAACCTGATGGAATTCGTGGGGGGAGAACCTTCCAAAAAAAGGAAACGCCGCACCTCCTTCACCCCCCAGGCCATCGAGGCCCTCAACGCCTACTTCGAGAAGAACGCCCTCCCCACCGGCCAGGAGATCACTGACATCGCCAAGGAGCTCAACTACGACCGCGAAGTCGTCCGCGTCTGGTTCTGCAACCGCCGCCAGACCCTCAAAAACACCAGTAAACTCAACGTTTTCCAGATCCCCTAAAAATTGGACGGGGGGAGGAGGAAGAGGGATTTTACCCCCTAAAAATTTGGGGGAGGGTTTTACCCCCTAAAAATTTGGGGGGGGGGGTTATCCCCTAAAAGTTGGGGAGGGATTTTGCTCCTAAAAATTGAGGAGGATTTATATCCCCTAAAAATATGGGGAAGATTTTACCCCCTAAAAATTGGGGGGGGATTTTACCCCTTAAAAATTGGGGAGGGGGAGGATTTTGCTCCTAAAAATTGAGGAGGATTTATATCCCCTAAAAATTTGGGGGGATTTTACCCCCTAAAAATGGGGGGTGGATTTTACACCCTAAATATTTTGGGGAGATTTTACCCCCTAAAAACGGGGGGTGGATTTTACCCCCTAAAAATGGGAGGCAGATTTTACCCCCTAAAAATTGGGAGCGGATTTTTCCCCCTTAAAATTTGGGGGATATCTTACCCCCTAAAAATTTGGGGGGAGATTGTACCCCCTATAAATGGAAGGCAGATTTTTCCCCCTAAAAATTTGGGTGAATTTTACCCCCTAAAAATTGGGAGGGGTATTTTACCCCCTAAAAATTTGGGGGAGATTTTACCCCCTAAAAATGGGGGGTGGATTTTTCCCCCTAAAAATATGGGGGGGGGAGATTTTACCCCCTAAAAATTTGGGGGGGGAAATTTCCCCTAAAAA